AAAGACTCTTCACAGTGTTTGTATAAATTTAAGTTGTTACCAGCTTTAGTTTGACTTTTTTGTTTCATGTAAACTTCTGGGCATCCAGAGACAAACATATATAGTACAGTGCAAAGAAACAGCAAGGCAGGAAAAAATGGGGGGGGGTAATTCTTGACAATTATTTTATATGTAAATAGATTAAACATACCCACAAAGAAACTAATAACTGAGTCGACTTCTAAGAGACACAAATTGCTTCAGATGAGAGTCACTTTAGACTGAATGATATAGACGCTGCATCATTACAGAAACAGGATATTGAAGAGGGAGAGCAAAGTTGAGAGAGAGCAACAGAGAGCCTGAGACACAGCACTTGAGCCAGCCAGAGGGTGAGAACAACAGTGGCTAGGCTTACATCTGACAAAACTAAAGTTTATAAAATCTGCAACAAATGAAAAAGTCACATTGTACTTATATTATAAATGAGCCAATTCAAGAGAAGGATATAGTTATTATAAATGTATGTAGCTGTTCTTCCATCTTCAGAGGGGGATGCCAGGACCCTCAGTAGATGTTCACATCCAAAACTCAGATGCTGTCTACATATGCTCTTAGTATAGAGCTAACATGTACATCTCAAAACACCTCTAGATTTTGTATAGTCCCTAATGCAGTGCAAAGTCTATATAATACTATACTGTTTACAAAATGATGGTAATAAACAAGCCCTACTCATATTAAGGTCAGAGTCAATTTTTAATTTATCTTCATTCTGAGTTTAGTTTAATCCATGTATTATGAAACCTATGGACTGAGAGGGCATACTTTATATGTACTAAACTTTAAAGTGTATACATACTTGCATATATAATACACATGCATATATGAATGTGTGGGTGGATGTAGATAGTTTGAAGGATGGATAAATGGATAGATAGATAGATAGATGGATAGATAGATAGATAGATAGATAGATAGATAGATGATACACAAACAGATCATGAAACTAGGAAGATCACTATCAATAGGAAATAATATGCTGACAGTATGCAGTAGAGCTACGGGATGCAATAGTGGACTTAGACATAGACAAATACAGCGTATTCAATCGGGTAGTAACATTATACATTTTTGAGGGCATGATAGGGTTCTCCAGGATGTGGTAGAGCACAAAACAAAATTTAAGAAAACAAAACTTACTCAAAATATCTTTTCTGAATACAATAAAATTAGACATCAGTTATATAAGTCAAATGGGAAAATTCATTTATTGATGTAAAAGTAAATAACTTTTACATCTTAAAAAAAATCACTGGTTGAAAGAAATATTTTGTGACACATGAAAATGAACAAATTAATCACATGCAGCTAAAGTGGGTATCACAGTTTGACATTCACACTGAAATGTTATTCACAGTCCAAATGCTGCTAATATATAGAGGTTGAATATGCAGAGTCATCAAAATGGATTCACGGTGGGACTGGAGACCATAAGAACATTAAAAAAAAAAAAAAAAAAAAAAGACACCTGACATAAGATTTCACTCAGTTTCTATGTAGTACCTGATGGTGTTTAAAAAAAAAAAAAAAACATGACAGCCGGTGCATAATTTTCTGAACCTTTATTCTGTATATACTATTGGCTTTAGTCTAGGTTTGTTAAAGCAGAAGAAAATGGACTGACACAGCATGTAGAAGTATTCAAAACAATAACTACTTGCACTAAAAAGAATCATCCCAACTAAGCAACCCAAAACAACTAAAAAATGATAGAATAATAAGTTCAAAGTAAGAAGAAGGAAGGAGACAATAAATACTAGATAAGAAGCACATGAATACAGACTGAAATGCAATAGGAAAAACATTGACAAAAGAGAGTAGGGGTTTTCTAAACTAAGGAAAGTGAACAAATACCAAAATGAAGATGAGGGAGAAAGGAAAGAAAGTAAGCTCAAACATAAAAGATCATAGCAGGCCACTATAGATCATTATATGCCAACAAACTGAGAAGAAATGGTAGTATTTATATAAGCATGTGTATATTCCTAGAAGCAGTTCTTAGCTCATGGTACAAAGAAGAAACCAAATATAAATAGAAAACCTAAAGAGACAGATAACAAATAAAGATACTGAATCAGTAATCAGAATTCTCTTGACTAAAAGCCCCACAATACTAGATGACTTTACAGATGAATTCTACCAGACATTCAGAAGAGCATCTTCCTTAAACTCTTCCAAAATATAGTAGAACACATTTTATTTTTAAGCTAGTCTAATTTATGTTCCGAACCTAAGTAAAGATAGCACAAAACAAAAATTACTCTCATATTTATAAGAAAACAGATGCTAAAATCATTTACAAATTAGTGGAAGGCTAAATTTGACACTATATTCAAAACATCATTCACGCTGACCAAACTGTATTCATACCACAGTTGCAGTTAATTTTAATTGTAAACTTGTCTAGATTTGGAATTACTATGAAAACAGACCTCTGGGTGTTTCTGTGAAGATGTTTCCAGAAAGATATAACTAAAGAGGGGATGCTCATAATGACCTGTGCAGCCTTGCACCATTGGCTGAGCTTTTTGACTGAATAAAAGAATGAGACTTGAGCAATGTTCATTACTCTTTGCTTCCTGACTATGGATGCAATGTGAGGAGCTACTACACAAGCCAATATGCCTTCCCCTACATGATACACTGTACCCTTTGAACAGGGATGCAAAAACTCCCTTAAGTTGCTCCTGCCACAACAATGAAGAGAGAAAGTAATATAAATTGGTACCAGGAGAGGGGTTTTGGTTGTGGTGAACCTGTTCATTTGTTTTGGGGGCATTTGGAACAAATTTGTAGGAGGAATGTGAAAGGGCTTGGACATGCAGGGGAAAGGAGCCCTATAATGTTGCAGTTGAGCTTAAGTAACAATTCTTGCAGATATCTCAGAAGACCATAATGCTGAGAGAAAAATGGATAATGGATGCCCAGCTCATGAAGTTTCAAACAACAGACACTCTATATGAAATAGGCTAGAAGCCATTCAAATGCATTCTGGTAAAGAATCTTCCTACATTCTGCCCACAGCCTGATAACTTGAGTCAACTAAGTTAGTAAGTAATAGTTATATCGAAAAAATAAATTTTTTAAAAAGGCCATGAATTTGAAATAAACAAAGGGGAGATATATGGGAAATTGGAGGGGGGAGGAAGGAAGAAAGAAATGATGTATGTAGTTGTTGGCTTTTTTATTTTTGAGCTCTTTTGACTATTTGCTTTCACCGAGCTCCCAAATAAATACATGGAGGCTTATTCTTTCTCAGGACTGCCTGACCTTACCTTGGCTTATTTATAGCCAGCTTTTTTTCATCCTAATTTTTTTCTATCTGTCTGGGCTTTTATCTTTCTCTGTTTCTGTATTCTTTTCTTTACTTCTTGCTGGGTAGCTTGGTGGCTGGCCCTGGAATCCTCCTTGCCTCCTCCTCTCCTTGCTCCTCTATCTCTCTTCCCTTTTTAATCTCTCTAACTGCCAGTTCTGCCTGTCCTTTCTCCTGCCTAGCTATTGACAATTCAGCTCTTTTAGACAGGCAAAGTTACAAAGATTTACAGAATTAAACCAATGCAACACATCACTGCATCATTAAAAAAATGTTCCACAGAATAAATGACTGTAACATATCTTCAACTAATATTCCACAACAGAGTTAATTACAATGTAATCTCAAAAAGAAAAATGAAGAAAAAAGAAGTAATAGATACCTTTGGTTGCTACACAAGTTGAAGGGCAGGGATGGGGAATATGTAATCAAACAGAACCAAGTTCTAGCATCTAAAGATCTAATATGAGCTACATTTAATAATAATGTAGCTTGTATAACAAAGAATTGATGAGTAGATTTCATGTGGTTTTAGTGGAATAATGTATATTTTAACTGACTTTTCTATATCCAGATATATTGATATATGTATGTGTATATATGTAGATTTTATATAATTACACATAATACAAAATACAGAATTTATTCATTGCCCCATGCATTCTGTATTTTTTTTTGTTACTGTGTTTGACTTTGCATGTCTTTTTTTTTTGGTAATATTTTTAATTTATAGAGTGCATGTTTGGTGATATTATAAAATATATGTATATTGTTCTTATATCAGTTATTTTAATTAGCAGAATTCAATTGAAATTTCTTTTTATTCTTAAATTATTTGAAGAGTTTTATTAACTAATTACCTTTTGTTTAAAAAAGAATGGGTAGAGGCAGAAGAGGAGAGTGGTATAATGAGAAAGGGAAGTTGTCATTTAGTGTCTAATTTATCTTTATTACACTTTCTTTAAAAAATATGGCCATAGGTGACAAATTCTATAAAAATCTCAGGGTTTTCCCTTGACCCAGGCCATGAGCATTGCGTAAGCAAACACTTCATGTGCATTTAGAGAGCTAGCATGCCAGGAGCAGGCTGGTCCCTCCTCTTTCTCTGAGTTGTCTTCTCCCTTGAATGCCATCTTCCTATTTTCTAAGGATATGCTTGGGATCCTAACCATCAATGACATGCATCTTGTCTCTCAAGTCTTCACTTATGACTCCTGAAAAGTTCTTCTTTCTAAGCTCAGTTCTCCATACAGCTTTTATATTTTATTCAGTATATTTTTAGGTAGTATGCTGAAATAAGTAAATCACTGCCATCATGAAACAACAGAACCAAATTTTAAATGCATTTACAGAAATAACTTATTAAATTATGATATATAAAATACTGCAGTACAGCATCTATTCTTAAAAATATTAATTTTGTTATTATTCAATTGATTAAAAATCACAAAAGTACTGGAAAAATCAAGCACATGAAGTATGGTCTTCACTAGGATGCAGGCTTATATTTGCTTTTCCTCCTAAAATCCTATAAGGTATTATTTTTATATTTTTGTGAGTAGTGTATATTACAAAAATGTATTCCTTAATCAACACACATAGCTGTCTTTTTCTTCATTGCCATTCACAGAAGCTCACTGCTTACCAATTTGCTTTCTGTACTGATCGACAGGAAGTTTTGTAGTGGATGAGTCTTTTCTACCCATCTTTGATCTCCCAAATACCTGCTGGAAAGAAAGAAAACAAGTACAATGAAACCCTTTTTAAAACCATCTGAATACTCCCCCAAAATTCCTTAGGATCATTTTGTTGACAGTGAGTAAAATGCTGCTGACTTAACTTCTTTGTAGATAACTACAAAGAAAACAAAACCGTCCAATAAATCATAAGCTATACCATTACTGGTGATAAAATCTTCACACGTTTATTCTAAGTTGCATTAACTTCATCAAGAACTAAGCTCAATTAAACTAGAATATTAGAGGATAGTGTCTGTAAATGGCAAATGTCTTTGCAGTTATCCACTGTGTGATATTCAAACAGAAAGACTAAAGTATGTGAATTGCACAGTTTGAATATTGTTTTTAATTGCTTCACAGATATAGCTAAGATGGGTACGTTTAGGCTCTGCTTGCCCCATGTAATATAACAGCAGAAAGTACTGTGACATACTCTTATTCCCACTTTTGCAGTATATGTATGTGCTGCTTTATTTAATCCTCAGGTCAGTTCTCAAATTTTAATTTTATTGAATTTAACTATTGCGCCAGAAACTAAACTCTTCTCACCAAATCTACACACACTTTTCTTATTTTAAGTTACACTATATTTCCTAGCTTTAGTTAAAATATGTAATTAAGTTCTTGCTACAAGAGGTTCAAAAACTCACAAGCATGACCGTGTGTTCTCTTTCTTTCCATCTAATGCATTGGAACATAAATGAGCCCCCCTCAGACAAATTTGGGAGTCCCCATTTGTAGAAACCTGATTATCCAAGGGATGGAGGAAGTATTTTTAATAATTTTAATAATTTGTCATCCTTGAAAAAAGGAATTCAAATTCTCTTGGAGTTGACAGATATTATGGGCCATATTTACTGAAGTCACAAATGTTTACTAATACAATGCACACATTAGTGTCTGGAAGTTGTTCCTCGTTCCTTTTGGTGTAATTCTATGTAAAAACAAATGATCAAGCAAGAAGTCAGTTTAGAATTAAAACTATAAAGACATTATTATTACTGTCATTATTATTATTGTTGTTGATACATATATACACAAATATATAAATGCAACCTGTCATTTCTGTGTAGTGTGGCTTGAGTCTACACAGTTTCAGTACTGAGTACTTTGTACACTCAGGGGTTACATACTGGAGGAAGCTAACTCTCCCTTGCTGAGCAGTCATTGGCTGCATGTAGATTTTAGTCGAGGGTAAGGAGGAAAGAAATCAGAGAAGTTGTATAGTTATTCTATTCTATAGAATTCTAAGAACTTAGGGTTTAAGATGCTGGGAAAGGCAGATAGGAAGAAAAAAATGAAAAACATTTGAAACAAAGTTCAGTTAATATTTCTCATCTGAGAGATGGCAGGGAGAGAAAAGGGGAAGAAAAATAGAGGGATAAAGAGAAGGTGAGGAGAGAACGAGAGAGCAGAGGATGAGCAATACCTTGCGTCGAATCTATTCTTTAGGTTACCTCTGAGAAAAATATTAGTGGATACTATCAGAAGCCCGGAGTTCCAAAGAATAGACAAAGAGCATATGGAATTATATCTAGGAAAGCAGTTGTGGCAAAATTATAGGCACATGAACTCCCTGTGAGTGGTAAGAAGGTTAGCAAAAGATGAGGAACTATTTCATAAGGAAGCAGAAATTTTATGTAAAGGAGTGGGGAATGGAAACAGTCCGTAGTTCTGGTCCCTTGAACGAGCTGATGCTGTGGCATAGAAGGCAACTGTGCAGTTTCATGTCTGCTTCATGCTGAAGGAGGAGACAACTAGAGGAGGGAAACAGACTAATACACAGAGGTGTTCCTCTAAAATAGTCACAGTTTGCTTCAAACAAAAACTTTCTACAGGTGATTCTAGAAAAGGTGGGGGTGGTGGATACATTTCATAGTCTGGAAAGCTCGAGGAGCTGAGGATAGAATTTGAGACAGGACACTCTATTCTAGCTTCTCAGGTTTGGACTGGATTACTAAAACAGACGCTCTTTTAGGCTCAAAATAAACTGATGCAGTTTTCCCTAATGAGCTTTATTAAGGGTTCTGGGATGCCAAGTATGTCTGAAGTCTGTTCAAGTTCAATTACATTCTTTACATATCCTCACAGTAATGGCCAACAATGACCTCACTCAACACAGTGAAAAGACATCCCCAAAGTAACAACTTCTACCCATGTGTAAGAAAATTATATGCTTATCTAAAGTTTACATTTTATAATAATAATAATCTTCAGATTGATAGTATAACAAAATCAAAGAATGTAAACTATCTGCTGACAACAGGAAGATGTCTTTATCTCTAAGAAACAATGGAGTTATTACATCTAAGATGACATATACTTAGTTTTCTGAAGGATATTAAAATATCATCTAATCCTATATACTCTTACTTGTTATAAATCAAAACATTAAAAATAGTTCTGTCAAGACAACCCATAAATACTGTCAATAGATATAATATATTCATATAGCAGTTCTATTTTGCATGGTGTTTGCATTTATTAATAGTAAAGCGGAGTCATTATTTTAATCTTAATTGTGTAGACCTCAAAGATGTATCCATATCAAGAGAGATGTTAGTGTACATGAACAAAACAAAATATAATACTCTCTTGCACATAGATATATTTCTTCATGGAATACGAAGAGAACTACTAAGTCTATGTGCCAAATGTATATTCATTTTTCTATTCTTGTCTTCATGTCATTACATTTCCCTCTCTTGCTGGTCATTTAACAAAAGTAAGACTTACAAGGCAAGTTCTGTATTGATCCATTTTTCGTAGTAATAAAAAAATAGTATTTTTTGACTAAAGGAAATGAAACTATATTTATTCATTTCCAAATGTGCTTTTCATAACATACAAAAAGTGAACAAAGTGTCTGTAGGCAGTAAATAGACTATATATATATATATATATATATGTATATATATATATATAATTATTTTATATAAAAACAGAAGAATTTCAAAGGTCTAGAAAAAAGACAAAAAACTAACTTTCAATTATGTTTTTAGTTATTTCAGTGATTGATAATAATACTTGATCAGAATTTTAAGAATTCAACTTTCTTCTTGTGTTTGAGATAATTCTATCCTTTCAGGAAAAAAATCATTTAATCTAATGGTTAATAAAAAATAAAAACAAAAACCCTACAAAAAACATTTTAAACAGACTACATTTTGTTAGGTGTATGATGAAAAATATTTTACTTTATCAATAAATGCATTGACTCTATCTAAAATTACATAAAGACATGCTTCTTCACCTGTATGGCATAAATTGTTAATGCTTCAGTCATCTTTATTTTCTAAAACATTCTGACTTTTCTTTGCTCTTCAAAGCCTTGCAATAATCATCATTCATTTCTATTGCTTTGATGACATTGATAGCAAACTCCCAAGGAATCCAGGGAAACATTAGCACGTACAGCCATAATTTCTAATAAGATAGCTATTTGCATATGAGATCAGCCACAATTTAAAATGTGTTGTGATAGATGTGGAAAGGGAATAACACATTTATATTAGTGTGTACAATACTGATACCACATTCACATTTTAAATCCTTAGAGACTGTCTCATCACCTTTTATGAAGAACACTGCATTCCCTGAGGAAGTAACTTGTTTTAAGACCCAGCTCAACTAAAATATGGATTAATAAGCTACTATTTATTATTTATGAATTTTGCTGTAGGAATCATTTTAGATTAAGTCATCATAGAACTTTTTAATCATTCTGGAAATTTGTTAACATATTTAAGGAAGAAAGAATACCAACTATTCATATTAAAATAATTCATAACTAAAGTTAATTAAAACTTTATACTCGAGAACATTGAGGACCAAAGATGGCATTACTGTATAGTAACATTGTCTTGACCTGTACTAAACAGCAATTTCTGCCATATGAATGTTTAAACATCTTTTGTGTTATTTAATGTGGCTAGCCATATAGCACCCAAGTTGTACAGCTCATAGCAGCCTGTATTTCCAACTCCAAGGACACTGGATACACATTCCTATCCCCAGTTTCACTCACACAAAATGAATCTTTACAAAGGAAAGTATTCATATGCTCAATCACATGAAAATACTGTTATTTTGCTCAGTTATATATTTTTATAAAATCCAGAAAGAATTAGTTTAAATGTAGGAAACCCAAAGTCTCTTCAGATTTTGACATTCAAACCCATGCCAAAACATAGGTTATCAAAATATTTAATCCTTGAACAAAGAAAAGATAATTATCTTAGTGATTGTGGTTAAAAGACAGACCCTTACCTATGAAAATTAAATATCAGACACAAAGTTATAATTAAACAGAAGATACTTAGTATATTTAAAATTAACTTTTAAAAAAGTCACAAAAATACAGTATCATGCAGAATCCAATGGTGACCATGAACGATGTTTCTTCCTGATTTTATGACACTTCCACTGTTTCCAGAGTATACCGAAAAGGGACAATGGAGTTAATATATCCAAGTCTTCTGAATGAAGACAAGGTTTTTTTAGGTAAAGAAATAAATGGTCCAATTTTGACATTCATTTCTTATTTATATCTGACTGTGCTACCAAACTCAGCTTTATTTGAACAAACAAAGCAATATAAAACAGTGATTCAATAGCTTAGACTGGCAATGAATTCACTATGTAGCCAAGTCCACCCTTGAAATTCTGGTACTTCTATTTCTTCCAATACATGTAGAGATTACAAACATGCAAGGCCAAGCCAGGCTCACATTACCTCTGAGCTCATTGAAGATAACAAGCTCATTCACATTTTCATTGGATTTATTCAAAAATTTGTTTACTCTGAAATTTTTTAAAATATATTTTTAAACATCTTCACTCGAATATCTCATTTTTAATACTACATACCAGGGTCATCTCCATTGAAAACAAATCATTCAGACCTTTGTCTAAATGGCTCTATCTATTATTCAGGTTTCTATAGACAATACTCCACATTTAGAGACATGAAATACACAACTTGAAAA